TTGTGTGTGTGTGTGTGTGCTCTGGTTGGTTGAAGTTTGGGTCCATTGCCCATCTCGGTATACGTTTTTACTTTTACTAGTTTGTGAAGGAGCGAAAAGAAAGGAAAACAAAATAAAAGAAAAAAAGCGGATTATGTGATTCCAGACAAATGTGCTCCTGCAAAACTGCCCACCGAACCTTTGTTCATCACATGGCGCTAGATCCGTCGGGTATCTTGCTTGCGACGTGCTCGAGTGACAAGGAGGTTAACATATTTTATCGTAATCCTTCAGTGCAAGAGTCGGGTGCCTGGACTTTATGTTGCGTTCTAAAGGATCATGTGGCTACGGTGACTCGTGTGGCATGGTGTTGGCACAGGGAGCACGGGCCTTTGCTCGCCACCGCGGGTGCTGATAGGTGGTTTTACGTGTACAAAATTATAGTGACGGTGCATGCTGGGAAAATGGTGTGTGATGCGGTGAAATATTCTGTTATTAGGGGGTTTGAAAAAGATGTCATCACCGATGTGGCGTTTATTCCTTTTGAGCAGCACCGTGTTCTTCGCTTGTCAACCGCGTCGCTGGATGGCTGGATACGCTTGTACGACATCCAACCTGTGCAGTTTCTGTTCGTTAGCAAGATTACGCGGGAGACCGAGACAGGCAGAGACGTGGACACTCGCCGCGGTGGGATTACCTCCATAGCCTGGTTTCCAAGCTCTGCGGGTGAAGGACGGGCTCTTGCTATTGGGTGCATGAATGGAGCCTTTTACCTGTACCGATCTTCAAAAGATTGTGAAAAATTTGAGCGTGTGCGCAGTGTGTTTCCTGAAAGGGCCGATACCTCTATTCATCATATTGTTTGGGCTCCTTGTGTTGGGCGTCCCTTTCAGTTGCTGGCGATCTGCTGTCGCAGTTCTGTGTATATTGTGCGACTTAATTGTGTTTCTCCCGTCCTGGAGTCGTACGATTGCAACGTCTTTCGTTGGCCTCGCGGGGCGGCGTGTGCGGCGTGGAGTCGTTCCGCCTCGCTGCTGTACCTGATCAACGATGATGATGCGAGTGAGATGACACTCCTGCAAGCAGAAGACCCCTCAGATCATCAGTCGTGGAGGGAAGTGCCACATGATTTTTCCTGAAGACGATGAAAGTATAGGAGAAGGCACGAAAAAGGGGGCTGCCTCCCCCGTAACTTCGATTTATAATTTGTCGGAACTTTGTGCAAGGGCTTCATTCGGACTCTTCCTCGTACGATCGCAATACATACATACACACATATATTTTTGCATCTGAGAATGTTCCCACACTGAGGCTGCTTTTTTTTTTCTTTTGCTGTTTACTTTTATTCTGCGGGCCTGGCCGACAAGGAAGAGGGAACGCTACTGGAATACCTCAACACCCAGAAGTCTCCAAAAGGAAAAAAAGAAACAGTAAAATAACGACTTGCCTTTGCCCCTTTCCCGTCTTAGTTGACGTTCCTTCGACAGCGTGTACTCCTAGCAACATATTGCCCGGTTTTTTGGGGCAATTGTCCAAAATGCACGGAAGTAAGTCCACCGTCGAGATGGGCTTTTGCTCCATTCATAGGAGGAAGCGAACTAGGGTGGATTTAATGCCCTTGGATGGCCAAACCGGGCAAATGCGTTGTAAATTCCATAAGGAATGCCGCCAGCGTGTCGAGGCAGAAATGGTTATTTGTAGTCTTCATAACCGGCGGCGAAACATAAATCAAATGAAGGAAGTTCGCAAGGGGATATTCGAATGTTTGCCACAGTTTGCTTGTCGTGGCCAGTTCAATGAGGCAACCGTGCCGACATCTCACGCACCGGTGTCACATCCGCACCACGTCCTCCCACCAAAAGGTAGCAGACCCCAACAGGTTTTCGGAGAGGCACATCCTGCTCTATCAGCAGGCGTGGCCTGGGCACCTGCATTTAATCGCCCTCGCAATGTGGGTGTTGTGACTTCTTCCGATTGGGCGCAAGCCGATCACAAAATGTGGTGTGCCAAACACGGAAAGTTGACGTCTCAATGTGAGCTGATCAAGGACTGCTACCACGTCTGCTACGATGCGTCGGCGTGCCTTTCAACGCCCCTGGAATTGCCTTCGGAGCTTTTGTTAAAGGGGTGCAAAGAGCTTTTATGTTCAAAGCACAACGCTTTAAGGTTGGTAGACTTCCTCGAGAAAACCCCTGACGAAAAGGGATACCAGTGCACTCTGGGTCATCGCTGTCGGGGAACTCTTGCAAATCAGCGGGATGCAGTTCCAGAACAGGCGCTACACCCCACTAGAGAAGCGGTTTCTTCGTTTTTCGTGTAATAGCTGGATCAACTGAGCAAGAGTATTATTTATTCTTCCGCAGGGCTTTTGGATGAGGTTACCGTAACGCTTTTGCTCGATTGCTGTCTGCATTGCTGTGCTTCGTGTTGTTTCATGTCGTGCTTTGACGAATTGTGTTTTTTGTTTTGTTTTCCTTTATACCCATTCGCAAAAATATGTTCTTCTGTCACACACACGGGCACACCTATAGATGGAAATGGCGGAACCAGGAATTGCGTCCGTCCCAGTTAACCCCAAGGTTGGGCTGGTGGATGCGATGGAGGAGGAGCATGTTGTTCACTATTCCGTGCAGGAAGAACTTCCTCGGACCTACCTCCATTTGGGTTTCCGCGGAATATTTGATGTGGTGTGCCAGAGAACAGTAGTTCTGGTTGTTCTTTTGTTAATTCAGTCGTTATCTCAGTTTATACTTGAGATGTACGAGGGACTCATCTCTCGTCATGTCATAATTCCCATGTTCCTTACAATGATTATAGGGGCTGGAGGTAATGCAGGAAATCAATCAGCTGTGCGGTGCATCACTGGATTGACGACGCGCGAGTTCCGACGAAGTGACTTTCTTCTAGTCCTCCGCAAGGAAGTTCTTTGCGGTCTCATTATTTCTTCCCTGCTAACTTTAGTTGGTTTCGCCAGGGTGTACTACTTCTACTGGGGTCAGTTCTACTCGACAATAGCTATATCCTTGTCACTGTTTTGTGTCATAACGATTTCTGTCCTGTTTGGCACAACGTTACCTTTTCTTTTTCAGTTCGTGGGCATCAACAGAGAGCATGCAGCACCTTGCATTCAGGTGCTCATGGACATTACCGGTGTTTTTATCACTTGTTTCTTGTGCTCACTCGTTATTCCCTCGAGTGAGAGCAGCGGCGGCAACAGCGGGAAGTGAGTGAAACGGCAGTGGAGGAATCCCCAAGAGGAGAATTCTCAGGGCGAAGTAGACATGAGTGGAGGGTGCCGTGGTTGGGATTGGAAGTGAATGAGGGCCTTCCAAAGGCGTCTGTGCATGAGTAATCAAATACACACATACACACTCACACACACAAAAAAAAAACAACAACAAACAAAAAAAACTGCAGATAACGCATAATACATTATAACCTTTTTTTTTTTTCGTTCCCCTTCAAATAGTCTTCTTTCTTTGGTTCTTACTGTCGCTTGCTTTCGTAGCTTGATAAAACGAGCTAAAGATGGTTGAGGCTACCCCAGATATGGCAAAGTATTGCTTTGCGGTGATCTCTAGCGAGTTGAAGAAAGAGGCAATCCCAAAAGCTCCCCAGAGTATCCCTGACGACCCGTGCCCTGTCTTTGTCAGCCTCAAGACAGTAGATGGCGCACTCAGAGGATGTATTGGGACCTTCTCTGCCGAGCCGCTTCGTGAACAGCTTAAAAATTACGCCATAGCTGCGGCGTGCGAGGACAGTCGTTTTCCTCCGGTTGAACTAAGTGAGCTTCCTTCACTGAGTTGTACGGTTTATGTGCTGCACTCCTTTGAGAAGGCAGATGACTGGAAGGACTGGGCGATAGGCATGCATGGAATACGGATACGGTATAAGAGTTACTCTGCCACCTTTCTTCCGTCCGTCATGTCTGAAGAGGGCTGGAATCACGAGCAAACCTTGCGCCACTTGCTAAGGAAGGCAGGGTACGGAGGAGCCGTGACAGAAGCCGTCCTCGATAAGGTTGCGTTGACTCGGTACCAGGAAAGTAAGGCCAGCATCGACTTCTTATCTATCGCTGCAGGGGACTAGTGGCATGTCTTGCTAATTTCTTTTATTGTTTTTGTGCTTGCTTTGGTTTGGGTGGAAAAAGAGGAAGAAGTTGGGAGCGGGGGTTATAGTATTTGTTTCCTCCAAAGCACTCAGTTTTGCTTGCAGGTTGCGGGTGGGCGGCGGAGACTCCGGTAGGCGGAGGCCTGATGCCTCGTCAAGAGTGAATGCTTGAGGCGCGAGCGAAAAGTATGGGCAGTACGCAATAGCCATAGTGAATAAGAAAGAATGTTCGAACCATTTATACGTCATTTAATTACAAGGAGTAGTTCCCCTATGCGGATGTGTGTGTGGGGTGGGGGGGGGGAACAAGTGCAGATGAAAGAAAACAAAACAAAATGAGGGACAACATGCAGGAAGAGAGAAGTATGCGACTCTGTCTGTCTTTGTGTGAATGAGGTGAGGGTGTAGGCGCGACGGTGAAGGAGCGACATCAACTTAAAAACAAAAAAAACAAAACTGTGTGTGTGTGTGTGTGCACTCACGCGACCGTTTTCTGAAAGTTTTCTCGGCCCCCTCTTTTTTTTTTAATTTGCGTGCAACAGTGTAAGTTGGGTGACGTTGAAGTGGAAGTTCTGCTGGAGGACCGCTCGGCGAGGTCCTCGAGCGTGTCTCTCTTGACAGCAAAGGGACGCACAAGAAGGCTGAGGCAAGTCGATGAGACGGAGATTGGCGGAGTCCTTGACCGGGTGCGTCGGGGAATTCATTGCTTCTTTTGCGGTGGAGTGAAGTGCAAGCACGAGTCGTGGGAGGCCATGGGCGAAGAGCGAGCCAGCACCCCAATTAAAGGACTGAATTCAAATTGGGTAGGGAAAAATGTTATTGCGAGCCAACGACCCTCGGCTTCACTTGTTATAAAATATCTCCTTATACAGCAATTTAACGCGCATCGAATAACATGAGTCTTCAACTTACAGGAAAAAGGAGAACATGCAGGTTGTGGGCCTGATGGTGTGTACCCATCAACAGGATATCGTTACAACGGGAGGAGGACTCAATACGACACCATATTAGTTACTGCGAGTTTCCATGGCCGGACATGATGGCACCGCAGCAAGACGTTGTGCTACGAAGTGTGCAAGTGATGGATTTTCGTGTGAGGAATTCAGGTAAAGTGCTCGTTCACTGTCATGCAGGATTGGGCCGTACAGGACTCATGATAGCTTGCTATTTGGTTTACAGTCAACATATGCCCAGCGAGGATGTCATCAATCTTGTTCGTCAAGCGAGACCTGGAGCTATTCAGACTTCAAGACAGGCCAAGTTTATTCGCGGTTTTGAGCGTCATTTGTGGCGGCTGACGCAGTCATTTCGGGTGGAGATGTCTGATGCCATCATAGACATTGAATTGCTTTTGCAACGGCAAGGCTTGGTGTTGCATGGGGACGAGGCAGATAGTTAACGCGTTATCCCTGTATTGATTCGGGTGCTTCTCCGTCGACTGCTAAACTGGACAAGAGGTCATTCACAGAAGGCGGAATTGACCCTTTTATCTCTTGCGTCTAGCGCCTCGCCGTTTGTGGCTACACTAAGTGCGTGTAGGCTATCTATTAATAGACGGCGCTTCAACGTGACGGCTATGCGGGATGTGAGGATCCATAGTTTTCTTGTCTGCGATTGGTTTCGTTCCCTGTCAGCTCCGGCGCTCACTGTAGAAGCTTGCAATGCCACTGTGGAGGCCGAAAGGGTGTCTCCCTTTGAGCGTGATCCAATTTCAAGTGAAATCACCCGTATTACAAGTAGCTCTGTTCGACACACTTTGGGCATGGTTCTCTCGGCATTCTACATTATTTCTCTTGAGGTAAAGGCTTACGTGAGGTCGTACACTTTTCGCCGTCTTGCAGATGCCTTTACGCACGCACACGCTTCTGTAAAACTCCGACACAGCCCTGTAGAACGTGAACTGATTTATGCATTCTTTCTTGACTGGGCTTATTCCATCCAGGATTTGGACTTTAATGTGGATCGGGTGGAAGAAACGAATAGTCAGCTCCTAAAGATCGCCAAGTCGCCTTCTAATGCTCTTGAGGATACGTCACATGATGACTTTCAACAGCCTGCTCTCACTTTTTAACCATTAGCTATTGTAGGTGAAGACGGGGAGAAGAAGTTGTGAGTAACTGCAACTGATGTAAGGGGTGTAAAAGTCTAAATCGACATATTGTTCGTCCTGTTACCTTACCGTTGGTTTCTAAGGTTAGGGAAACTGCTGCATTTTTCTCTGTGTCTTATTGGATTTTCTACTGATCCTGAGTTCTGTGTTTCTGGAATCGCTACTTTTCGAAGATAAAGGTAAGAAAAAAGAAGGCAACAGCCGATAGTTGATAATTGAGTTCCCCCCCCCCTTTTTTTTTTTGTCTCATAGCCTTGCAGGCCTCTCCAAAGAATGTGAACTGTGGGGGTCTAATCGTTGCTCTTTCCAAGTAGAGTGCCTTATTGCGAGTTTTTTCTCTGGTTTTGCCTCGGTATAGCACGAATGGGTCATGATTGGCCCCACAAGGGAGGTGATATTTTTTCTTTTTCGTTTTTTGCTTCTCCGTCACGCCCAACCACCCTCTTTTAGGCGTGCCGCGCTGTGTGTGTGGGGGGTTGGGGGCTGTGGGTCGATGCTTGTAGGAGAAGGCCCAAAGGAGCCCCCCACTTGCAAGCAGCAAGCGGGTACATAAAGTTTGGAATTCATTTATACGATTTTTGTTTTTGTTTTAGGTTCCCTTTTTCCTCTTCAAGCTGCATCGACTGCCGCCTTGTTGGTCAGTTGCTTCGTTCCGTGTTTTCCTCCCCGCTTCGGTTGGGCGGCAGCCCTCGGAAGAAGCTCTTCTCTGTTCTTTCCTCTCCTTCATTTGTTTGGGACTCAGAGGTAGAAAATGCTTCGACGCACCTTTGCTGTCGCGCAGAAGGGTGAAAGAGGGCTGTATTTCCCCATCAATCACCGTATCGTGGATCGTCGAGTCGCCTCCGGGGTCACTGTGGAGGAAGCGGATGTGCAGTCACGCTACCGCCGTGAGCTTCGCACGAGCTTTACCACCGGGGAAACGCGACAGACCATACCCCCACTCTGGAGCGCTCGCGAAAGGCCTACGCATTTTTTATCGTTGCGTCTTCCAGCGAGGAATGCCCTTAGGACACGTGTGAATGAGATGCATAACCAGATCCTCTTTTCTCACCACCAGCATGCGCCTCTGCTTGTTCCACTGGCAAAGCTACACATTACCTTGGGTGTGATGACCATTTCGGAGAGCGAGGAAAGGGAGAGGTTGGCATCGATCTATGAATGTGTCTCAGAGGTGTTTTCAGTGATCCGTCCGCTGCAGCTTCGTTTTAGGGGTTTGGGGACGTTTGGGTTCGGCCGTGTTCTATTTGTGCGTGTGGTCCCCGAGGCGGATTTTGGTTTGCTCGATGCCGCTGTTTTTAAAGTTCGCCGAAGAGTTGGCGGGGAGTTAAAGTTAGACATGAAGGGCAACCCACACGACTCTTACGTTCCGCACGTCACTATCGCGAAGATTAGGTCCAACCAGCGGGCGCAGTTTGGCGACAGGATACCCTTGTCGCTCTGGGCAGGGTACCAACACCACGATTTTGGGGATGTGACGTTTTCGCAGGTGGATATTTGCCGTATGCGGGGGTCGGCGGATGGGTATTACCACACGGAGGGTTCGGTCCAGTTGTCGTAGATGCGGAAGGAAATATATTTCCCCCCAAGGCGTTGGTCAAGATGCAATAATTTCAAACGCATGGAACAAAGACCGCTGCAGACGCGCGTCTCCTCAAATGCCGTCGTCGTTTCTGTAATGTCTCTTTTGTTGTTGTAATTTGTTTATTTAGTATTGTTTTTTTTTTTTTGCCTCCCCCTCCCCTTTGCGCCGCTTTTTTAAAAAAAAATAAAAAGAAGTTTCTCATCGCCTCCCGCAATGGAGTCAAGTAGGACAAAAAGTGTTGCGAAAGGCCCGGCAGCTGAAAAGCCCGAGCTAAAAACGCCGCTGAGCATCAGCATGTCGGAAAGGCACAAGGCGCAACTTCGCGAGGCGTTTGATCTTTTTGACTCGGAAGGAACGGGTCGCATAAAGGCTCTGGACGTGAAGGTGGCGCTTTGTGCTCTTGGCTACGATGTCAGTAAGGATGAGCTGGCTCAGCTGCTCAGGCAGGTGGGCGGGTCTATCGTTGCGGGGGTGGATTTTAATGAGTTCTACTGCGTTCTTCTGGCGAAGATGGCGCAGCGTGAAAGCCGATCCGAGGCAATTCGGGCATTCAAGCTCATAGATGTTGGGGAGAAGGGGCACATTTCCGTCGATGACCTCCGTCCCATTGCCGACTCACTGGACATGGATCTCACGGATGACGAGCTGGCGGAGATGGTGCTGTTTGCCCACCCTTCCATTGCTTTTGGAAAAAACGAAGCGGAGATTAAGGAGCCTTTGACAGTGAGCGAGGAGGAGTTTTTGAAGCTCATGGCACGTGCTCATGTATATTAGCCCCCCACCTGCGAATGGGGGAGGAGGCACACCCCCACAAGGCGAAGACCAACTACCCGGAAAAGATTATATATATTTATATATTTATATAGCGTTCTCTCCGTGAAAGATCCTGGATGCTCAGAGGATGTGCATCAACGCAGAGGAGTGTGTTACTTCGGCAGGACAAAAAAAAAAAACATTTTTGCTCTGTTAGTGCTTTTCCTTTTTCATGCCTCTTTTCTCATTCTCGGCTTGTTTTTGTTTCATTTTTGTATTTGTGTCCCCTCATAGGCAACCGTGTGATGTCCGTGTTGGGCGTCTCTTCCTACTTTTTGTGGACGCAGAAGGGTAAGACGGTGTTGCCGTTAGTTCGTGGCAGTGGATTTCTCGTGTCGTTTCAACAGATTGGGGGTTTCTATAGGTATCACGTCCTGGGTGCGGCTCACGTGACGTGCCCTGTGAAGTATCGGCAAATATACGGGGACACGGTTGGTCTTCGGGCGATTGGTGAGCGCCACATTAGCACAAAGTTGTTGAAGCCAGGGAGCAAAGGCGCGGTAGAGGCATCGATCGATTTAGAATTTGCCCAGACATACCTCCCAAACGTGGATGTCTCGTCGCTTAGGTGCAAGGATGAAAGGCAGTTAAGTGAGAGTTGTTTGCGGGCGTTTGAATTGGACCTGGGCCCTATCAAGGAGGGTACAGAGCTTCTATTTTGGGGGGTGAAAGCGGAGGAGGAGAGAGCCAATCCAAACGATGACGGACTACGTCTGAAAGAAGCTTGCATCGAGGGCGAATGCCGGGCGGCCCTCGTCTCCCTCGACTACGGCACCGTGGTCCTGGCCTCGTTGGGGTCTCCTCTTGTTTTGAGCATGTGTGGCGGGCCTGTGGTTCGGAAGGACAACGGGCGCTGTGTTGGTGTCATTGTCGCTCAGGCCTTGAAGAACGCGCCACCGTCGGACCCCCAGGTGACTCCGCTGTGCCAAGATCCGTGGTTGGATCTCTCGCACAACGAGGTAATTCACACCTGTGGGAAGTTCAATGTGGCGTTTGTCCCGGTTCGGGAGTTCTATGACCCGCTGCGACGCTGCGAAATGTGAAGTGAAGTGGATTTATTGTTATTATTATTACTATTGTTGTTGTTGTTGTCTTAGCTGCGAGGCGACGGCATGGGCCTTGATGGGGTTGTAGTCTTTTTCTCTTGGCTCCTCCCCGGCTGAGGGGTTTTTTCAGCCAAGGTAGGGGGCTATCATTGCTTTGGAATAACGCAAAAGTGACCGAAGATGGTGAAGAAGCAGCCGGGGGCTGAGAACATCCGCGTGGTTGTTCGATGCCGCAATTTGTTGCCGTATGAATCGGAGCGTGGTGATAAGGCCCTCGTGCGGCTTGACCTTGCGACAAACCAAGTTATCGTGCATCATCCCATTGGAGATGCCGACAGTTTTACGTTCGACGCCGTGTATAACAACACCTACACACAGCGCGATATATTTCTGCAAGAGGTGCAGCCGCTTCTTGAGGCCGTGCTTCAGGGCTACAATGCAACGGTCTTCGCCTACGGGCAGTCCGGTTCCGGCAAGACGCACACAATGACAGGTAAGCTGAGTGAACCCCAACTGTGGGGTATGATGCCGCAGGTGGTGAATTTCCTCTTCAATGAGGTGAAAAAGTTGAGTTGCACTACAAAAACGTTTAAGATTAAAGTCTCTTACGTGGAGCTGTACAACGGCAAGTCCCGGGATCTTTTGGCCTCAAAGCAGGTAAACCTCGAAATAAAACAGAATATGTCGAAAAATTTTTACGTAAAAGGCGCCGAGATGCCGGAGGTGACAAATTTTGATGAGGCGATTCGCTGGTTTAACGCTGGCACGGTCCGTCGCCAGACCGCCTCTACGGATTTGAATGATACGAGCAGCCGTTCTCACTCACTATTCACCCTTCAGGTGGAGCAGTTTGATTTTGAGCAGGACCCAAGCTCTCCTATTGTTCTCACCAGCAAAATCAACCTTGTGGATCTGGCGGGGTCGGAGAAGTTGAGTAAGACGAACGCCACGGGTGAGACGGCGAAGGAGGGGTGCAATATCAACCTTTCCCTTTCAGCGCTCGCAACAGTCATTGATACCATTGTGAAGGGTGGGAAGCATATTCCCTACCGGGGCTCGCCACTGACGATGCTGCTTAAGGATTCCCTCGGTGGTAATGCCAAGACTGTTATGTTTGCCAACATTGGGCCATCCGAGAAGAACATTTCGGAGACCATCTCAACCCTTCGCTTTGCCCTGCGAGCGAAGCAGATTGAGAACAAGCCGGTCAAAAACATGGATCCAAAGGATGCTCGCATTCAGGACTTGTTGGATACAATTGAAGAGCTAAAGAGCCGATTGGGGAATGTCGACCTCAACCAGGAGGACCAGCTTCGACAGCGCATCGAAGAGCTGGAGATTGAAAATTCCGATCTTCGCGGCGGTGGTGAGAAGAACAATCTCGAGCTTGAAGAAAGCGTCCGTGTCCTTCAGGCCCAGCTGGAGGAGGCAAATCGGATTTCTGCCGAGAAGCAAAAAGAAGTGGACAAAGGGGTAGATGCCCGCGTGCTTCTGGAGTGGAACCTCCAAAATGAGGCGGGGCATGGGAAGGAGCTTCGGTCGCTGGCAATGAACTTTATTAAACGGGTATGCCAGGAGGAGCAACTGCAGGAAATTCGTCGTAAAATGCCACAGGATGGCTCGTACAATACGACAGCTGACGGTTGGGATGTGAAGGAAATTGATTTCTACTTGAATGAGTTTGCTTCCATGTACGAGGCCTGGAGGCAGTCGACGTACACGCGAGAAGATTTAGAAAAATACGCCCAAGCTTCTGTTAGCGGTGTTCTGGAGCAAACACAGCGGCACCTTGATGAGGTCACCCGTGCCCGTGATGAGTTGCTGCGCCTGCGGCAAGAGGACTCCGCAAAACGTGCGGCGGACAATGAAACGCTTTCTCAGTTAAGGGTCGATTTAAACACGCTTAAGGATGAGAACAGCAGGCTGCGGGAAAAGATCGAAAGAGACCAGGAGCGAATGAAGGCGAAATTGACCAAAAACAAAGACGAATACAAGTCTTTGGCCGACGAACTAGAACGATCCAAGGCAGTGTTGACGGAAAGGGAACGCGACATCGAGCGGCTCAAGCGGATGTTAGAGGAGAGTGGCAACAATGCCTTCTTTGCGGCTTCCACAAGTGGGGGATCGCCGTGGGCTGGCGTTGATGAGCGAACTGCGATGCTCCAGCAGCTGGATGAGGAAAAACGTATCAGGAAGGCCTTGGAGTCACGCATCCGAGAAGTGAATGTCTCGCTTCGTCGCTACGGGGTTTGCATCGCCGAGGCCGGAGAGGTGGCTGCCGGGTCCCAAGAGGCTGCTGAGCGCACCGACGCGCTTATGCTTGCGGCAGTCGAGGAAAAAGACACCCTTGATGGGGATCTCTGTGCCAAGTTTCAGCAGCAAGTTCGCGTCAAACAAAGACTCACGGAACTTCGCCATCAGCACCAGCGTAAATTGGAAGATATGCTAAGGAAGTACGAGCTTCTCAAAACTGGGAAAACTACTGCCAACGGCGGCGGCGGTGACAGTGCGTTGCATTCAGGCTTTGCAGATGACGCACTCGCACAACAGATAAAGGAATTGCTGCAGCGAAAGGACGAGGAGATTGAACGCGTGATACAAGACAAGGAGAAGACATGTGATAAAATTGTGAAGAAGCTTAACAAGTCGGAGATGAAAATCAAAGAGTTAGAGGCGACTCTCGAGGAGGAGCGGGCACAGATTACTGATGAGCGTCAGGAGTTAGGTGCCGAGAATCATGAGCTTCAAAAGTACAATCAGCAGCTCTCGGTGGAGGTGGAAACACTACGAGGACAACTGAGCGTGGTGAAGGAGGAGATGGACTCCATGGACCGCGCAAAGAGTGCTGAGATTGAGCAGTGGAAAGAGGTTGCAGAAAACGGCGCCGAGCGCCTTGAGGAGATGCGCTTTAAGCTGGCTGCATACACTGAGCTTCAGAAGAGTTACGATCGGCTACAGGAGCAGCTTCAGCGCACCGAAGTTTCACTAAAGGAAAAAATTGACAATCTCGAGAACACCAGACAAATGGTGAAGTGGTCTAACTCCCTTCTTGCCACGGAGAAGCAGAAGCTGGAGCAGATGGAGATGGTGGTGAAGCAGCAGGAGATTGAGATGCGCCGTCGTGAGGAATACCTAAAAAGTGAAATGATGGATGACATTAACAAACAAGTGGCTGCAAACAATCGTCGTTTGCAGGAGCAGGCTGCACAGTATCAAGAGCTTATATCCCAAGAGCAGGATAAGCAAAAAGCAATTATGAAAAAGGTAAAGAGTGCAAGGAAAGAAACACAAAAGGCGGCCCAACGGTATGATGAGATGATTTTGGAAAACGAGGCTCTACTGTCAAAGCTGGAGGAGCTAAAGGTAAATTCCATGCGGATCTTTCTGGAGAAGCAGGAGGCCCAAAGGGAATTGGAGGCATTACGTCCCACGCGGCACTTCGGTACTCGACGTCTCTGATGGCGCTGTCTGCGTTGAACCTAAGCGGGTATTCATGTCATTTTGCAACGAACTCTTTCCTTCAATGTACATGTGTTTTTTTTCTTTATATATATATATGTGTGTGTGTGTCTCTGTGTTTGTTTCTTTATATATATATATATTGGTAGACACTATACAAATAACATTACCTGATAAATAGGGTGGTGGATTGAAGTTGTGCCATCGCACACATTTTCGGCTAGGTGTTGCCTTTGCGCCTGGGTCCCGTGCATGTTTCCGTTTGGTTTCTTCTTCGATCCCTTCTTCTTGACAGTGTTTTTATTCCGCGTTTTCCCTTTGCCGTTCTTCGTGTGCCATTCCAGGCGATGGTGCGGGATACGGCACAACGGGCCTCTCTGGTGAAGGCAGGGCTGTCGAAGGCCGCGGTGAAGGAGCAGGAGTTGGCGGTGAAGCGCAGCAAGCGGAGCAAGTTTACACCGGTGTCGGCCCACAGCAAAGGCAATCCCATCCACCGAGCCCTCAAATACCATGAGAAGAAACTTCTTCGAAAGCATGACTTCATGCAGTATCCGCAGGATAACTGGCACGAGCCCTTCTGTATCACAAAGTATCACCTAGAAGACCGTGAAGACTACCGAAGGTATTTGCGTCTGGTAGGTCTTATGCGGCAGCTTCTGGCGCAGCTTCGCTACCTTCCATCCGACAGCAAGATACGGATACAAATAACACAACAAGTGCTAGACAAGCTCTTTACAATGGGACTAATTAAAGAGAAACTCGGCTTGGCGGAGGTGGACAAGGTTGGTGTGGAGGCCTTTTGTAAGCGACGGTTGTCTACGGTTCTTCGCGATCTTAGCATGTCACCAAACTGTAAGCTTGCTGCGGAACTTGTCCACCATGGGCATGTGCGGGTAGGCACAACGCAAGTTAGGGATCCAGCATTTCTTGTTCCCAAGGGACTGGAGGACCTTGTGACGTGGATGCCTGGTTCAAAGATTAAACATCATGTGGACTCCTTCAACGTCCAACGCGATGACTACGAGTAATATACATATGGAGGAATTACAAATTCCCCACTGGCGTTATTCGACGCGCTAAGGGAAGATAAAATGAGGAAAAAGGTAATGTGCATTACTGTTCTTCTCTTTCACCAATGCTGTTCCCTCTCTTTATACTTGTAAGGATGTGCCTTGATGTTTTTTGTCGTTGTTTTCGTCTCTCTCTCTCTCTTATTGGGCCTGAATTGTGCAGCAAGCTACACTGCACTATTCCACACGAAGAGACGCAGAAGAACAACAACAACAACAACAACATCAAAAAATTAAAATAAAAAGAAAGGCTGTTTTAATAATAGAAGACAACTAGGCAAGAAGGAAGGAGAGGGAGAAAAAAAGGAAACCCTGAAGAGGAGGGGGGTGGGGGGAAGGAGCTTCATAACTTCACCATGTCCGCGGATCGCACCTCCCGACGTAAGGAGATGGACTTCATGAAGTTAATGAATGGCCCACGAAAGGTGCATCCATCAAATTCGGTTTCAGAGTTTTGGGTTGAGTTCCACGGTCCTGAGGGAACGGCCTACGAGGACGGTACGTGGTTTGTTCACGTGCAGCTTCCGGCTGATTACCCATTCAAGTCCCCTTGCATCGGATTCAGCAACAGCATTTACCATCCAAACGTGGACGAGGCAAGTGGGTCTGTCTGCCTTGATGTAATTAACCAGACATGGACCCCTATGTATGAGTTGCAGAACGTCTTTGATCTTTTTCTCCCGCAACTTTTGCGTTATCCCAACGCCTCCGACCCATTAAACTCTTCCGCGGCCTCCAAGTTGCTAAATGACCCCATTGCATACGTTTCTATTGTTCGTGAACATGTTTCAAGGCATGCCACAAGAGAGGCGGCGCTTGGGAGCATCCCCGCGGAGTACCGTCCGCGGAGCGAGGAGGCGGTGAAGCGAAATGAAAAGTCCCAACAGATATTGGAAGATGGTTCTCCGGCCACATCTAAAGGTCTAACAGAAGTCCCGAACTCCCCTTTTGGGAGCGAGGAGGAGTACGTACCAGAGTCAATTGATATCTGAAAAGGGGGTGAGAAGATTGTACTCCATGGATGGTTATTGGAGGAAATATGAGTGAGAAAGCAAAAACGGCAGCCAAAAAGTGAAACATTATTGCTGCACTGATGAGTGGGATAACGTTGTTTCCCCTTCAAAAGGCTGTTTGGGGAGTAAGTCCTAGTGATGAGGATGAGGATGTGGGGGGGGGGGGTCAAGGAACGGTAGAGGGAGGGCGATAAAAAACAGAAATCTCAAACCTTTTCTCTGCCGAAGCACAAAGCCTGATTAGATGTAGCGCCGTATTTGCCACCGTATGGACGCCCGCACTCCCCATCGATGTATGTTCATACGAGTTGCGTGTATAGGGGTTCCAC